AGATTAAAAGACTAGGAAATGTGTTTCTAAAATGTACCTGGCTTTTGTAAAATGAAGACAGTCTGTCCTGGAGCCACCCTAAATTCACAAGCTGCTTAAGAAAGGGTCTCATGTAGTGCCTAACATACATAGAAAACCTTAGAAGAGCTAGAAGAGTAGACTCCAGCCGCCTCCCTGGGTTTGCCTCTAGAATTATATGGAAGTGCCCTCCAAGGGCACTCACTCTTAACCTCTGTAGTAGACCTGGGGTCGGGGTGGGGTGCCCAGCTCAAGCACTGTGCTTCCTGTTTGATGTCCAGATCAGCAGGGTGCTTCCAGGCTCTTAACTCCAGGAATGTTGCTTGAACTTGAGTCTGGTGATTACTAAGCTGCTACCCGGACTGTCCTCATGCCATGTCTGCTGCATCCAAGCAGAGCTGAGTGATACTGGCAGATACTGCCATGCTGCAAGGGAGTGTGGGAAATGTAGTTTTCCGCTTTTAAATTCTGCAGTATAGGAAGGCCTACTGGGAAGAGATTCAACATATATAGACAAAAATCATCTGGTTTATGTATTAAAAGAAAATGTGTCAATTAGGACCATTAATACGAGTTACTTGAATTTATAAGGCACATGGGGGCAAGAGAGCTATAAATAGATTAATAAGACACATTTAGGAGAAAGGAATCAAACTGTTAATTGACTAAAGGCAGTGGAGGGAAGAGATACAACAGGAAGGAACTAGACTGACTGTTCAGTTTTTGGCTAGAAAATTGGATAGTTTCCCACACTGTTTACTAGGACATGGAAGATGGGAAGAAAAGGTAACTAGGGGTAGCCATGGGCTACTTCTGTACATGTTGATTTCGTAAAATGTATTGGACATGATGGTGTGCCCACTAGAGATCATTTAGCTTGTAAATGCACTTGCTCATTTGCAGCAGTGAGGCTGGCTGCTGCACCAGAAATGGCTTGACATATAGATAGTGTTTATGGTTGAAATCTATTCATTTGTCTGCAGTGTCAAGTGAGTCTAGAAATACAAAAGTTATCATTATTAAGTTTTAGTTCATATTGAAGTAGGTTTATGGTTTATTATTCTCTAATCCCATTGTTGATTTTTTTTTTCCGCCCTGGAAGGACTCATATGGACTCTATTTATTCTATCCTTTCTTGTTTCAGAATTTCTCCTACCTAAAATTATTGCTGAGCAGAATTGGGTTGGGGCAGTGGCTTTGGCTTGCCGGCTTGCCTGGTGGGTAATGGCAGCCAGCACCCACCCCTCTCTCACCATGCCCTTGACTTCTTAGATTTTATATTTCTGCTGACTGATTCCTAGACCACAGTGCATCTGGTGTCTTTTCTTCTCTCTGTGTGTTTGCTTTTAGACTGCATTCTGCCTCTGCTTTTAACTTCTTCCCTCCATTCTTTTCCCTGTGGTATGTGCTTCCATTTCTGTGGTTTATGTTGTTTGTGTATGAAAGTGGACATGTCTCAGGCTGCTGAAACATGGCATGTCTTAGCCCTCCTTGACCCCTTTGTCATTGCTTCTTTTCTTCTAGGAAGAGTTTGGAGGCTGGGGTATTGCTCTTATTTCTAGTTTTCTGTAGTCTAGAGGAGAAACATTTAAGTTGTGGTCAGGTAATTTAACCATATGGATCCCACTGCCATTTTTTGAGTAGCAGGATCACAGTTGTCTCTGAGTGTGTGAAGACAGAGAGAAAGAGGAGAGAGAGAGAGAGAGGTAGGGAAGAGGCAGGGGTCCTTTTTGCTGGGCCCCTGGCAGCAGTGACCAGTGATGACATTACAGGTGCCTAAGCAAACTGGGAGTGGGCTAGTACATCAAGATTTGTAAAGTAACATTCCTCCTTTTCCTATAAGTGAAAAGGGTGGGAAGGAGGTAGGGAGGGGTGGTGAGGAGGGAACAAGGACATTGGACTGCTTCTCGTGCAAGGCAAGTTAAATCATATAAATGCAGCTTCCCTGGAAGCAGCTCTTGGTTGTCATGTAAGGGAGAGGCAGACAGACAGACAGAGATAACAAAATGTCCAGGTTTCATGGTGAAGAAGAGGGGAAGGCCCTGCCCTGGAAAGTCCAGGGGATGGGATTTGTTAGCCATGCACTGCAGCAGATAGGGACAGAGGAATGCTGGGAGAACCTGGAGCTGTTTGTTCCAGGCCTAAAAGCACACCATTCCAGCCTTTTGTTAATAATAAATGGACAATGGGCGAAAAATCTTTTCTGGATACTTCCTGCTGACACTGGTGGTGAGAGGGAGGCCAAAAGGCTGAAATGTTGACCAAGCCGAGGAAGAGCAGGCTGTTTTGAGGCTGTGCAGAATCGGGGAGAACATCTGTGGCTGGGCGGGAAAGTACAGGTCCAGCTTGTCGCAGTCTGGAGGGAGGTTAGACCAAGACTGAAGCACCTGTAGGTGTTGCTTTGGTGCTGTCACGGATGTAGGAGACACCTGGGTCTGACAGGATACTGAAACATATATACGGGCAGAAGCCAAAGTTAGAAGTCTGTTAGGGAGAAAATCCCTTTAAGTGTACATTTGAAACTTGAGAGAGTGAACAGAGATGGAGGAAGAGAAACCCTCCTTGAAAATAGGAACCTCCATTTACCCAATCTCTGGCAGTAATTAAAAGGTTTTATTTTGGATCTGTCATCTAAGGAAAACTGAGGCCAAGTTTGGTTGCAGAGGCATGTGAACTTAGAGACCCTTAAATTGGGCACTAGATATAGAAACCTGAAGTTCTCAAGAAGACATCCCAGAGAAGAATCTGGAGCAATGGACTAATGGACTGTTCCCATTGGGCAGGTAGGAGTCAGTGACCTGTCAAGGCGTCCGAAGAGCAAGGTTTTGTTTTCCTCTGGTCATATTGCCAGCCTCTGTCAAGGGAGGCTTCAGATGCCTTCTCAGTCCTTTTCATATGTAGGAGACCTTAATCCTAGAGCTGCTACTATCAGGTCTAGACAGTCTATTTTGTTACCACACTCAAAAAAAAAAAAAAAAAAACCAGATGTAATTCTTTTTTACCATTCCTTTAGCTAAAAGACAGTAAATGTTCATAGCAGTCTCACCTATGTCTCATGGATACAAGGCCTAAGGATACAGAAGTTTTAAGTTATAAAGATATAAGAAAATGTTTGAGGGTCTAAGAAAGTGTTCTAATGTTGGTAAATGCAGGCTGTATGAAGGAAAGCTTCTAGGAAAATATTTGAGGGTCTAAGAAGGTGTTTTAAGGTTGATAGATACAAGTTTTGAAGATTGGAAGGTCTAAAGTGATTTAAGATATCCTAAATAAATAAAAATGCTTCATATTTCTCCTTATTCTGTTACTGTTATAACTGTCCAGAGCTCTTGCTTGTTTGAATCTGGGCTCAAGCCCTGGGAGACAGTTCTGCAGGCTGTGGTCCCTCTTGAGGAGACTTGAGTCTTGGGTTTTCTAGGGTGTGTGTACACTTTACTGTCAGAAGCTCCATAGCAGCAGGGATACAATACTAATACTTGATTTGTATATGAACTTAGAATGTACAAGGGTTTGGTTATTCACCAGTTGTTTTATTTATGGCTGCCTTTCAGGTGGAAAGAGAAGGACTTAGCATCCTCCATTTGCTAATGAGGAAGCAGATCCAGAGGACAGTGCAGGCTGCAAAGTCATCATAGCAATCACAACATAGACTTGAAAGTCAGGGCCTGTGCTATTTTTACTATGCCCCATTTTTCTCCTCCACCTCTCAGCACAAAGTCTTCCCGTGTCATCAGTGTCCTACTAACCGTATTATGACATTATTGTACTGAGTGGAAGCCAGGAGAGTGGGAGCACTGGAGCATAGTGCTTCGTGACTATGGAGTTCTGATCCTTAATTAACCTTAGAGTGTCTTAGTTATGGCAAAACTAATGGTGAATCCTTCCCCCTCTCTGGTATACAGGAGACTCATATCCTCCATCAAATCAGACTTAATTCCTCCAACACTGGTAGTGGATACAAAAATGTCCATGTAGGAATTTAATATTGGGGACCCTGTTGTCACTTTTATAATCCATTGTCCTCTTACTGTGCTTTGTCTTTTTATTCCTGCCCTGATGGCACAATATCTTTATTTATGGTCTTCTTTTTCCAGGAATGAGTCCTTGATCCTTTCATAACTGTCTTGTATTTTGCCGAGGCCAGGCTGGAACATTCAAATAAGGCTTTATTGAAAGATCTAGATAATAGCTGAAACATATGTGTTGTTCTATAAATTATGGCTTCTTGGAGCTTTGAGAAACTGCTCCCCTACTTCCCCTATATTACCAAGAAACAGGTGTTTAGTTAGGCCTTTTCCTTTCTCAGTGGTCACACATACACACGTACACACACACAGAGACGTGTGTGTATGTATGTATATACCACTCAAGACAACCAGGGCTACTCAGAGAAATCCTGTCTCAAAAGAAAGAAAACAAGAAAAGACAACCTGTGGAGGGATTGGCTTTATACTATTGCCTGTTGCCTTTGTACTGTCTGATTCTCTAGGTGGTTTTCTTTCTCAGACTATTCATTTCTCTTCAATTGCTTGAGACAGGGTCCCGAAAAGCCAAGGCTACCCTTGACTTAGCTGTGTAGCTGAGGATGACCTTGAACTTTTAATCCTCCTACCTCTACCTCCCCAGTACTGAGTTACATGAATGTAGGATACATTGTTTTATGCAGTCCAGGTCTTCATGTATGTTTGGTAATCACTCTGAGAGACATCCTCAGCCCCCTTAAGCTGGTTTGTAAGTAACATAGGCATAGGGACCATTTTCAGGAGTAATGCTTCTATCTGTGAGTACATGGTTTTCAATGACCTCAGCAGAGCAGCTGCGTCAGGACACAGAACCCACAACACCCACTCAGTAGCTAGATGGACAAGTAGGAAAGAAGGGACAGTCATAGACAGGATGAGAAAAGGTGCTGAGGGTAGCAGTGTAGTTTACCTGTGTGTTGCGATGAGTAGTTTAAGGAGACATTGTTCTTTTTCTACTCCTAGGTATCATGAGCTCATTACAAAATACGGGAAATTGGAGCCTTTGGCAGAAGTGGACCTAAGACCCCAGAGCAGCGCGAAAGTAGAAGTCCACTTCAATGACCAAGTGGAAGAAATGAGCATCCGTCTGGACCAGACAGTAGCAGAACTGAAGAAACAGCTAAAAACTCTAGTGCAGCTGCCCACAAGCAGCATGCTTCTCTACTACTTTGACCATGAGGCTCCCTTCGGTCCAGAAGAGATGAAGTACAGCTCACGAGCACTGCACTCTTTTGGCATTAGGGATGGAGATAAAATTTTTGTAGAATCAAAAACAAAATAACCTCTACCAGCCTTGTAAAAACTCACATAAGGACTTCCTGCAGGGTGTTTGTTTCCAGCAAGCTTTTCTTTAGGAGGAAAGACATTTCCGTTTTGTTTTGGTTTTTGTTTAGCTTTTGGAGGGGTTTTGTATATTTTCTTCCCCTAGAATGGGTAGGGGATTGTTTTTGGTATTTTCTACCACAGATTTCTTCAGCTCAGTCAGCAGACCTGGCTGCATCTCCAGTCTTTATGCGCTCTCTCGCTCTCTCTCTCTTGTGAAAGATGACAGAGAAATCACCGACTTCTTACTGTGTTGCTAGGATTTGTCAGCCACTGGGCTCTTTCCTTCTTTCCTGCTAGGCGCAAAGACTGCGTGGTCCCCCAGAGGGGTGGTGCACAGTGTTCAAATCCAGAGATGGGGATCTTCCCGGGAATGGCCAGCACCTGGGTCTCTGGTTCTTCCTCCCCGCCCCCCTTTCCTTTCTGGGGTTCCGGCTTTCGATCTGACTCGCATACCCTTACCTGGTAGTTTTATTCTGTTCGTAATTAACTTGGCTTGCTTTGTTTTCCCCACTCATCCCTGGTTTTAAATGGTTTTGAGCATTTTAAGTGTTTTGAGCCTGATTCTGATCTCAGGAACTCCGTTAGGTTTTGAAGAGAAGTAGATGGAGCAGCGTTAACCTGGTGGAAACTTCTGGAAGTGTGGGCGTAGCGAAGAGCTTTGACCTCACCACCGCCGCCCCGCCCTGAGGCCCCTCCCACGCTAGATCAATGCTCTATTGCCACACCTGACGCGCGTCCTGCTCTGGGTGTCTTTCCTTAATGCTTAGTGAATGTATTTCCTGACAGCTTTATAGCCCGAGAGTTCTGGGTATGCACTCCGTAGCAGAGAATTGGCTGGTCAACTGGCCAGGCGTGTGAAGGAAGTGGAGGGACTGGGAGAGAATGAGCTGGCGGCCTTTCCGGCCTGTGCCATCTATGTGAATGAAGCCCTTGTCCTTGCACTGTCACTGAAATGATTTTAATCAAAGGGAACAGTGGTTCCCACCTTTTTCTTGGGACTTTGTGATGTCATGATTGGACAGCTGTTTTTGTTTTGTATTTCTTTTTACGCCCCCTGTGGAATGATTCTTGCCTGATATCTGAGTGAAGTTTCAGTGTCAAAACGTCCCAGGTGTTTTTGCAGAAGTGGATATAAAGCACTTTCAACACCAGCCCCTCACTCTCCTACTCTGAAATATTTTTCTTTGCCCTTCCATTCTTTGTTAATTAGATGTAAATTCTTTTTTTAGTATAGAATTTTGTTTTGTTTTGTTTTTGTTGTTGTTACTGTTTTTGTTTTGCTTGGTTTGGTTTGGTTTGGTTTGGTCTACCCAGGCTACTGATGGGAGGCAGCCGAGATTCTCAAATGCAACTGTCGACCTGGTTGGTTGGGGTGGGGGTAGGGGGTTGTTTTGACCTTTAACCTTTGTTATGTGATTCCAACCGTCCTACAAGCTTAAGTTCTTGTAAACTCTTTAGGAAACTCCTGTGGGTTGTGTTTTTCCGTTGCCTCCGCCATGTGGCAGGTGTTTGTTCTCTTGAAGCACTTCAGGTTCAGCATCTCTGAAGCTGCTGACTCAGGCCTCCTGAGGCAGGCCTGCATTCACCGCAGCATTAAGGGTGAAAACCAAAGGGTTTAAGAAAGATGGACGAAGCCGGTTCTCCTGCTTCAGACTGTCTCAGAATCCTACAAATGAGCAGTGGGGATCAGGCCGGTTTAGACGAGGACAGTTATTTTGCAATCGCATTTTCTTGACAGATTTTTGGAAATAGGAAAAAAAGTGTGGCAACAGTGTCACGAAGATGAAGACTGTTTGCTTTGTGTATGTGCGCGTGAGTGCGGAGGAGTCTGTGAGAGAAACTGTAATGGAGACGTTGCTTTTGTCAGCCTGGGAAAACAGATGCATTTCTTATTTTTGAACTTTGGAGCCACTATCGTCCCACGGCAGCAGGCAGAGTGAGCACTTACACTTTGCGCGATAAGATATTTTATATATGACAAAAGTTTTAAGAGAGGCTTTTTTACCCTTTGAGACTCATGTGTTCTATTATTACACAACAGTGTTTATCTGCTGCAGGCCTAATCCTTTATTACAGTTGCATGTAAAGGGATTCTCATCCAATCCAACTGGTGTAGGTAATTTTAGGGCATTGTAATTTGGTTTGAGTAATTGCTGAATCATTTCCAATTAAGAAAATCTCAAGTACAATCCTTGGCCTTTTAGAAGTACAGAAGAAACGATCAAAGCTGTTTGAGCATGAGTATTTACAGGTTCCTTTTGGTGGCTGAGGAAAGCTGCTTTTGAAATAAAATCGGTGCTGTGTAGACATTTATAACCAAAATTATTTTTGTAACAGATTCAGAAGGAGGAGAGAAGAGCCCATGGACCTTTAAGAGTCTGCACGTTCTACATCATGCTTGTCTGTAGCTTGTCTGTATGTTAATACTGATTTCATCAGATTGGGTGGGAACATATTGTTGACAGTTAGGAGGCAAAATGCTGTCCTCACTGGTATTACAGAGATGTGCCTTCAGGCACGGCAGATAAAACATGCCTTTCCAAAGTAGAGATTCTTTTCAGTTGTGAAAAAGGAAAGGAATAACACAAGAAAGCCAAATCCAAACCAAGGGTCTCCCTGGGGATGGAGCTTCCAAAGCTGTGGTCCAAATGGATTTGTTAGTTTGAATTATTGAGATACCTAGATTGCTTTAAAGGAAGGGAAATGTCCACAGTTGCCTGTTTCTGCAGCCCTTTGCTGTAAATGCGTAAGAAAGCAGCAGAGAAGAATGCCCCTTGTTCTTAAAGACCTTTTGGTGAAAATGAAGCCACACAGCTGAGGGCTGTAATGCTACACCCAGAAAAAGAAAAAGCAGCTAATTAAGCCAATGCAGTTCCAACTGGGATTTTAGCCATGTCACCCCACCAGCCATGCTGGGGGCAGAGGACAATTGGTTATGCAGTGTTGATCGCCATGGGAGCCTTGCCACCTATAGCTTTCCCTGACACCTGGGAGTGTGGCTTAGTCAGCTTAGGCCCCAGGGCAGGTAAAACATGACTCCAGAATGCGCTGTAGTTCTAAGTCCTGTCATTTCTGTTTATGAATTTGATTTTCCCCTTCATTTCATGTAAGACTGAAATGCAAACTGCTTTCGAGAATGCCCAGAAGCTTTGTGTCCCCAAATGTTGTGAACTCTCCTGTTTTCATAGGTGCTTCCTTAAAATATATGTTTATTGTAGTGACAGGGACTGGATTCTCAGGCCCCTTACAGTTGTCTCCTGCAGTTAATGGAAATATAAATATATATATTTTATTTTAGAATATAATTTAAACATGAAGGTCTATTCTTTGCACTTTTTATTAATATATATAGAGAGATAATCTTTAAAAAATTAAAAATTCAAGTCCATTTACTCCTTGTGTTCTGAGTGTTTCTTCTGAGCAAAGATAATGCAGTTATCTTTACATAGCTAAAGGTGAACAATGGTTCTGCGAGTGCCTTCTTGGGCGGATTGGCCCAAGCTCGTAAGAGTCTGGCCATCTTGCCAAATGTAATGGAAATTTTGCTGAGGTTGAAAAATCGCAATTAAAAAAAAAATTTTTTTTTTAAAGAGATTTTACTTTTCTGTTAGCAAAAGTTTAGATTTCTGATGTACTTTCTACAGTGCTTTCTTGTCCTTTGGAGACAAATCTTTCTATTTAATACCCTCTTTATTAAATAAGATTGAAAATTTCATTTTAGTAAAGTACAAATTTGTCAGTTTTTATTCTAGGGTCATTTTTCTTCAAAAGATAATTTCGACAAGTTTGGAGTTTAGGGCATTTTACCCTTATCTGTTTATCAATAATTTCTTAGCAAGCTGCTGGGAAATAACATTCTTTTGAGAATTAAGGGTCCAGAAGTGTGGCTTCTGTACTTGGAGGATAATGTCCCTGAAGTCCTCTTGGCTTCAGACGCTCATAGGTGTCCTCTGTTGAAGGTGATTTCTTCTGTCTGAATCTGCTGTTACCTCCTCCACTTACTAGTGTCACAGAGTGATCCCTGAGGTCACATGTCCCTTTCCAGCCCTCTGGAAAAGGAATTCTCTTTGCCCTTCGAGTTGACTTTTGAGGCAGACACTGCTGTGCCTGGTTTTTTGGGGGTTTTTGTTTGTTTGCTTTGTTTTTTTCTTTCTTTTTTTTTTCCTAATGAGGGAAATTGATGACATAGGTAGGTTATTTATGTCCAAAGCAACACAATTGGTAAGTGACACTTGGGTCCTGCCAGTTAACAGCTGTGTGCAGAGCGGGCGCTGAAGCCCTGTGCTGCACACCTTTGTTGTAATCCTTGTCATCTAGAGCACTCCAGTGAGACCCTGTTCAGTGTGGATTCTCTCAGGAGCAGAACTTCTGGTATAGCTGGCAGTGCTGAGTCCAGCCTCATAGACTCCTGTGTCAACTCTGGAATTGTGGTTGGTACCTGTCCACAGAGATCCCTGCTTCTCTGAATGCCATGTTGGGTACTCGCTATTGATGCTGTTGATAAAAGTAAATGAACTAGTAATGTGGTGTAAGGAGACTGGTAATTTGGGTTCTTACCTCAGGTCATTCTTGGTTTCAGTGGAGCCAAAGGTGGGAGAGACTCTGTTCCACCTGAGATTAATGTCAAGGACACCCCAGTGTTCCAAGGGAACTACAGTTGGATGAGCACTCCTTATCCTGAGTGCTTTTTAGTCACTTCAGGTAGTACAGTTACAGCGTTGAGTAAGAGCAGCCATGAGATAGTCAGACAGGAAGAACTGAGGAGAAAATGCCATGGGCACGTTTGAGGGTGTCTGCTTTACTCAGGAAGTACAGCAGGGGTGGTGCGAACTGTCTCCACTCTGTTGAAATTCAGTTTGTTCTAATGTTCCTATTTTATATTACAAAGAGACGACGCTAACAGGTTCAAACTTAATTTCCAAACAGGAAACTTCCACAAGGTTCAAAAATTAAGCAATGTCAGGAAGGTAGACATTGAAAGGCCTGGTTGTAGGAGCCCTACTGTGTCTTCTGTTCATTTCTGGTCTCCTCCCAGAGTTTACACAGATAATAGCTAATCCAAATATACATTCTAGTTGCTTTGATTTTACACAGAAAAGGATGCAGATTATGGCTTGTTACAGGCTTTTGGTTTTTTTGTCGTTTTGTTTTTCATAAAGTATATTTTGTAGATGTCTTTGTAGTAGGACACAATCATTGTAGCCTCTTTATGCAATGTAAATTTTCATCGTATTGATATGTCTTGTTCCTTGACAGTTAAGTCTCCCTTCTCTCTCCTGGTTTCACTTTGCTGCTGTAAGCAGCACATGTTCTTTTGTATGTTTGAAATTGTCTATAAACTGTATTCCTACTGGATCAGATGCCACAGCGTTTGTAACTTTGATAGATATTATCAAATTATTCTCCAGTAGAATAATACAAAATTTACATATAAAGGGCCAGGCAAGGTGGCTTGCACCTCTAAACTCCAATACTTGAGAGACAGAAGCAGGTGGATCTCTATGAATTAGGGACCAGCTTGGTCTATATAGAGAGTTCTAGGCCAACCAAGACTACTTAGTGAGACCCTGTCTCAATAAAACAAAAGCAAATAACATAAAGCTGCCATGGTTTATTTTTTGGCACATCCCTGCAGAGTCTGCGACTTCACCGTGTGTGGGCTTGTGACAAATAAGGTCCCTTTCCAGTCAGGGTATGCAGATCCCAGCACTTGAATTCAACACATGGCAGACATCATGAGTAGTATTAGTCAGCCTTTGTGTTACTCTGACAAGGTACCTGGCATAAGTGAAGAAGGATTCATTTTCGTTTATACTTTTCAAAGACTTGAGGCCAGTCAGCTCTATTGGTTCTGAGCTCATGGGGAGACAGAACACAATGCAGGGTGAAAGTGATGGAGAAGAGGCAGGAAAAGGCCGGGTCAAGAGAGACCCAAGAGAGACACATCACCCGAGTCACACTTCTTCAACCAGGCAGGCCCGACTGGCCTAGTCTCCCCAGCCTGTCAGAGTTTCTCAGATTCTGAGTCTGTCAGTGGATTAGACAATTATGTCAGAATACTTCAGATCTAGCTATTTCTGGAAAGCCCTCCACAGGCACACCCAAAGTTGTACTTTACTGAAGTTGTTTCTTTACCACATCCACTTGACCTGTACATCATCACCATGAATTGTACACATCACCTATCCTAAGAAACATTGTTCCTCTGGAGTCAGGGCTTGGAGGTTTCATCTCGGCCACGGAAGACATAAAGTGGTAACTTGTGTTTAATAACATGTGAGAACTTTCTTTCCTCTGAGTGCCCCTGGAAGGCAGATCATGTGCCCTAAAATCCTGTGCTTATTGCCTCTCATAAGCTTTAGTCAGAGCTGTCTTTGTCTCGTTGAAGTGTCTTGTAGGAGAACCATATGCTGTTCCTTGAGGCACAGAGAACACAGCCTGTGCCCATCCAATCTCAGTGTGTAAGCAAGGGTACTCGAATAAAGCCAGTTCTGAGGTTTCACTTTGTGAGTCTATTTAGAACTTACTATTTTAACTGCTTGGCTGCTGCTAGGAAGGTAGCTCTGTGGTAAAGGACCTGCCTGGCTCCATAATGATGAATTTTTCCATTAGAGACTCTTAAGTTGGTTTTAGAAAATGACTAAAATTTCAGATATGAACATCTTTTGTTTTTGAGCCTTTGGGGAGTATTCTGATTCATAAATAAACATTAATAAGCATTCCTGTGATTTTCAAAGATCCAACATCATATTTTTCGTATGAATATTGGCCAAGACCCAGAATATAGAGCACAAATGTGACCAGAACAAAAGAAATAGAACCTAGGGAAATAATAAATTTTAAAAGTAGAATCCTAAAGCATTTGTTTTATCATCTAAACTCAATATTTACAGTGTGCAATTAAATATCACCGTGATCTGTGGAAAAATATAAAAAATTTTGGAAATATTACCTTGGGTTTTAAAACTGTTTTTAAGAATGAAAAACAGCCTGCAAGGTGGCTTAGCAGGCAAAGGCTCTTGCTGTGGAAGCGTGGTGAGCTGTGCCCAGAACCTAGATAAATAAAGGTGGAAGGAGAGAACTGACTCCTGAAAGTCATCCTGTGACCTCCACGCACATATTATGCCCCCCCCCCCCCCCCACACACACACATACCAATAAAGAAAATCAAATTAAGTGACTCTGGTTGCTTGCCTTTAATCCTAGCACCTAGGAGGCAGAAGCAGATGGATCTCTGTGAGATTAAGGTCATCCTGGTCTACATAGCACATACCAGTCTAGCCAGGGTTACATAGACCCTGTTCTAAATAACAAAAAGATGAGAAACTAATTGTTTTTTTTGAGTATCCCATCTTCTGGAAGTCAACCCAGAGGACCAGGAATGAAGATCTGAAGGCAATAGGAAAGCTGTACTTACAAATGTGAGAATCTTGGAGGCTTTGGTTTTGGGTTTTTGTGTCATTATAATCTATTGCATATGTGAATTTTTCCCTAGAAAAGGAGTTATAACATCCTCAAAGTGGATGACATGACAAAGGAAAATACAGTTGGGTTCCTGTGGATTTCTTTAAAGGATCTGACAGGAGCGCCTTCACTTGTTCTCCACAGAACAGCTCCAATTCTCCATGCATAGCTGCGAGAGGCTCCTCTGAGTCTCCTCTGTTGCTGAGGGGAGCTGGGAAGAGGAAGGCAGAGGTCATGATGTACAGCTGCCCTGCCCCTGCAGTTGTTTAAGGGGCCATAACTGGTGTCTGTAGACTCCCTTCTTCCTTCTACTGTAACTCCTCAGCAATTGCCCTTTGCACCAAAAAAAGCACCCAAACTCTATTTTACTTTTCCTCCTTAAACTTGTTTTGTAACTACAACCCTATGTGCTCCTGTTCATGTTGTGCACGTTGTCACAAGAAGCCTAGGGTGCCCTCGATTGTGGTTCCATGGGTTCCTGCCATGACCTCTATACCTGCTGCACGAGCAATTGACTTCACTGCCCACATAGGATGGCATCCTCTCAGCCATGCTATTGTTTATGGTCTAACCGGTATACCCATTGCCGGGGGCCCACAGTGGCAGGTGCTTTGCTGTGAAATGCTTTTCCTAGGCAGTTGCTCAGGATCTAGCATCCTGCAATCCTTCCTTCCATTAGTAGTGCTGGTTGGAGCCTCTGGGCAAGAAAAGCATGCTCACATGCATTAGGCAGACTTTTCATCACTGTGGCAAGTACCTTAGGGAAGGAAGCACTTTCCCATTTCACAGATTTCTGGGACCGAGTGATTAGATCCATGGCTTTGGGCCGTAGGTTAAGGCAAAACGTCATGGTGGCAGGAACATGCTGCAGAGGCTGTTTGCCTCATGAAAGCCAGAAAGCAAAGAGGAAGTAGGAAAGCCTAGGACCAGATGTCCCCTATGGTGACATGTCCCAGTGATAGACTTCCTCCAACCA